TCTTCCTCATCCCCAAGCAGCATTGGCACCACGTTGCAGAAGAGCTGGTTGCACCATTTCTCTGTTGGCCTCCAGACATCCTCATCCTGCATGACACGGAGCAAAGGAGCCAGGTGGGCACCTCTCATGGGGAGGGTCCATGCCTGGCTCTGTGACTCCTCTCCCTGCCATCCCCCATGCTTCCCACAGTGTTATGACTCCAAACCTTCACATCTGGCACTCTGCTGCTTCCAGAAGGGTGAATCCAGCATCCCAAGTGCTTGGCATCCCATCCCATGGGGCTTGCCACACCATGGGGCTTTCCTCTGCCCTTCTCCCAAGCTGCCCAGTGCAGGGGTCTGCATTGTGCCTCCCTTTTCCCCCTCCCCACCCTTTCCTAGCAGACTCACCTGCTTTGGACTGGAGATCTCTCCCTCCCGGGCGGACTTTCGGAGCTGAAGGGAAAGACAATTTGTGTCACCCCCCAGGCAGGGTGGGTATGTTGTGGGGCAGGGTGAGGGTGACAGCTCAGGAGGGGCAGCCAGCAGCCCCCCCCCCTTCTCTGGCAAGAGCCTGTCACATCCCTCCCTGTCAGCCACAGCTCCAGGGTGGGCACACTGGTGTTCCACCCCACCACTGGCACTGCCTCAGAGGGGGAGCAGCACGGGCAGAGCCACTCACCCGCTTCTTGTAGTAGATCCTCCACTTGTGGTACTCCCTCATCACCACCTCGATGCGGCGCTTCCAGTAGTTCCCCTCCAGCACAACAGCCTGGGGGGGGCAGGACAGGGGGTCATGGCTGAGCCCCCCGGCCCCAACACCCCACAGCCAGGGCTGTTTGCCTCGTGCCATGTCAGAAACACCTTTCCCAGCAAACGGGTCCCCAGCTCCCTGCTGCGCCACCCAGACCTGCGAGAGACCCTGCCCTACCTCTGGTTTTCGGTGCTCATCAGCCTCCAACCCCTCCAGAGGGGTGATGAAGCCACACACAGGGTTCTTCCTCCTCTCCACATCTGCACAGGAGAGAGCACAGCTGGCATTATCCATGCCCCATCCATGATTTATCCACGCACCTGCACGTGGCCGCCCCGGTGCCAGACCCATCCCCCTGGGCACAGCCTGGCTCCTGGCAGAGGGAGCAGGGTCTGGCCCATACTCACACTGGATGTACCACGCTCTCCAGATCGCGTTGTTGAGACGAATTTTATCCCGGCAAAGCAGCCTCAGCCCCTTGAAATTCTTCCACTTGGGTGACACCAGCTTCCCACTGAAACACCAAGCGAAGGGGAGGCTGAGGGGCACCATCCCACAGTCCTTCCAGTTCAGGGTCTCCCCGGGGGGCTATGCCTCAAGACAGGCCTAGGGGACATGCCTAGGGGCCACCAGCCTGGTGGCAAGTCAGGAGCAGGCACAGCCAGGTGGCTCTGCTACAGGAGGCTTGGCAGGCACCTCTGGGAGCACCCACAGGAGCATTCCCAACTCCTGTGCACTCCGAGAGCAGCACAGGCCTAATCCCTGAGCTTCACAGACCCACAGGAGGCTTCTCAAACCCCCAGAATTAAAGCACAGCACACAGAGGAATTGACTCCTTGTGGTTTGAACCCCAGCTCTGAGGAGAGATCCCACTGTCCCTGACCAAGCCAGCTGTGTCCCAGCCCTGGGGGACAGGAAGGGAAGTCTCCCGCCCAGGCGAGACGCCCGGGGACATGTGCTGTGGTGCCTCTTGCCTCATCACAGCATTTGGGCAGCTATTTCTGACCCTCCTTTTCATGCCAGGAAAGACTTGGAAATGCTGCTTTCAGCTGGGGCAGGCAGTGGCAGCCATCCTGGGGGATCTGGGAAGGCAGGCCAGCACTGGAGGATGTTCAGGACATCAAGGGACACTTGTCTGTGCCCGAAGACAGACAGAGCAAGACCAGCCCTGCCTTCAGCCGGAGCTGCCCTGACCTCTTCTCCATACCCATCCCTGCAAACTTGTGCCCCCCAGCCCGAACTGGGCTCCTTGCTCCTGATTTCCCAGCTCCCAGAGGCAGCTGTGTTTGTTCTACAGCTCGTTGTGGTGGTGGTGATGTCCCTGATGGGACCTGCATTGGGGGAAGCCTCATTTCACTCATTGTCTTGTTTCCATCCAGCCAAGGGACACAACTGCTCGTGTGCCCCCACTGGGGAGGTCCTGGTGGTCCTGCTGCCCCAGGGGTCCCTCTGCCTCACTCTGGGGTCCATTTCACCTCTCCCAGCTCTCCCACCCATCAGGGCATGGCCCCAGGGCAATGCCAGCTGCTCCAGGGGTCCCTCTGAGAGGTGGCTGCAGCCTGCATGGCATCCCTCCCCAGCCAATAGTTTGTCCCCTAAAGATCTCAGTGCTGCTCTGAGTCCCACTTTTCCTTGGCTCATGCAGGGAGCAGGAAAGGTGGAGGCTGGGTTGCTGTATCTCCTGTTCCCAGCCTCTCCTTGGGTGCATCCAGGTGCCTCCGGGCTGTGTCCCCAGGGAGGTGCTGGGGATGAGAATGGTGTAAGAAGCCTCTGACTTGTTCATTCAAGCTTTTGAAACCTCCAGAAATTCTCTAACTATGATTTTGGTGGGTTCTTGCCTTGAAATCTGCTTTGACTTGCCTTGAAATCTGCCTCCTGCAGAGGAGGAGGACCAGGGACCCCTTCACCTCCAGAGCCTGATGCAGGGATGTCTCTGGGAGTGGGTGCTTCCACCCACAGGGGTGGATGGGGACAGTTTCCCAAGGGACATACAGCCCAACCCACAGCCCCAGGGGCTGGAAAAGGACCTGAGGCCCGTGGCTCCAGCCTGCAGAGAGTTAAGGACTTGACTATCACCAGGATTTTGAACTTTCCCCAGTGTCACCCCAGGCAAACAGCGTGGTGCTGCCAAGCGGGGGAGCCAATGGAAAGGACGGTTTTCCCAGGCACCAGGCCAAATCCTGCTGGTCAAGGCCACGCTCAGACAGCTGAAAGGAGCAGCCCAATCCCTTGGCGTGCAGTCAGACACCTTGGTCACGCGTAGGGCCTGTGGGGCCATGGCCACGGAGCTGCTGTGGGGTCTGGAGGCAGTGGCGTGATGCCTTTGGGCTTTGCCTCCAACTGCCTTTTTCTCTCCTTAATGATCCTTTTATTTTTGGGGCTTATCAGTCTGATCTTTGCTCCCTGCTTTGCCTTGAATACGGCCCTACCCTTTCCTGAAATTATCTTCCCAGGGAGATGGATGCAAACCCCACATTGAACCGTGGGAACGGTTTAGGGTGCCCTAAACAGGTTGAGGGGCTTGCTGCCCCACAGTCAGAGGGACTGGGAAACAGTGGGCTACAGGGTATTTGTGGGATGGGGTGAGGTGGGAGCAGGGCTCAGCCTGGGTCCAACCCCAATGTGGGTCCACAGCACCTTGTTTGCTCCGTGGCTTATTTACCCATCCAGCATTTTCGGGTGTTGGAGTCCCTGATTCTGTGGCAAAATTGGTTCTTTCCCCCCCCATCAGCAGCAAGAGGAGCAGGGAAGAGTGATCTGGAGAGATGCAGGGGCTGCACAAAGAGAAATGAGTGGCAGCAGGAGGGGAACAGCTGAGCTGAGGGTCCTCTGGCAGGGACAAGCCTGCTCATCCCTTCCAAGAAGCAGGATCCCTATGGGGCTAGCAGAGCCCCCCTCACTCCCTGAGCTGTGGGACATGGCTGTGGTTCCTGGGGCTGGCAGGAAGGAGGAGAGTGTTCCCTGCACGTCCTGAACACTCATCTTCCATTTCTCACAAATTTTACTACCACAGTCATGTATTTTCTTGAGTTTTTATGTTTTAAAATCCAGAGTCTGGCAAAGAAAGTTAAAAATTCAACCACGGTTTCGCTGGAATGTGCCTCCTAAGTGAAAAATGGCTGTGTTCAAATCCACCTTCAAACTCCACTACCTAAACAAGCTGTTTTCTTCACTGTGGATGAAACAACTGCGGTGCCAGCTGTACTGGGACTGAACTCAGCCCAGGGGTGATTCGGGGATAGTGTCGAACAAAGGTGCTGATAGACTGTGCTGGGATGATGTAGGGACCTGCTCTGTGTGTACTCCAAGCAGAGATGGAACAGGCATTTTCCTGTCCCAGATGAGAAGTGAAGGCATTGAAAAACTCTTGCAAAAAGTCACCTGAGAGCTGGAGAGGTACAAGCCAAGCTACACCTCCAAAGCCAGTTATTTCGGTGGTCTCTGGAGGTATGACTCCCCAGTGCATCAGTGTGGGTACACCAGCACACCAGCCCGGCCCCTCTGCACAATCCTTGGACAGGATCAGCCCCAAAACTCCAGGGAATGGCAGAGAAAAGGCTCACAGCTCCCTGACACTAATGACAGCACAAGCACAGCGCAGTGTGGGTGGGTTTAGCCCGAGTAGGAGAGACTTTCCCCCTCATCAGACCCCCTGGAAGGGGGGTCTTCTGCCAGAAGGAAATGGGGAGAGGGAAGCTCAGCTTGTGCATCCCTCAGGTCTCTGCTTGGTGCTCGCTGCCCTGTGGGAGTGTTTAAGGCACTGTGAACTAGAAAATCAATTAGAGAGTGTGTTGAAGCTATTGCAGCAATTCCACCTCTTCCAGGGGAGACACAGAGCCTGCCAGGAGGATGAATTAGTAGGGAATTGGCACACAAGCTGCCTTGTTTCAAATCACAAGAGGGGCAGAGTGGATGCTCCAGGTCAATTCCCAGTCTAACGTCCCTACCTGCCAAATCTCTCCCTTGTTACTTGCAGGGAGGAGGTTCATCCACATCACTATGGGAACAGCTACGGGAAGACACTTCTGGAACTTGAGGCAGATGTGTGCCAGGTAAGACCATGAGAGGCTGCAGTTTGCAGCTCCCAGTCTGCTCTCAGTTTTTCTCCCTTCAGGAGGATGTTCCCCAGGTCAGTGACTCCCAGGAATGGGTCATGGGAAGGGTTGTGAGCCCAGCTGGTTCAGCTCCACACTCAGCCTTTTGGGGAAGGAGGGGCAGCCAGGTGGGCTGCAGGGAGAAACATCACCCACGGGAGAAACAGCAGTCTAAGGAAGGGATTCCAGAAATTAAGGCTGTTGCAGGAGAAGGAGTGGGAGAGAATCATTAAGCCTTTGGCAGGAGAGCTGCTCTAAGTGTCCTGGAATATGGGTAAAAAGGAACTCAGCCTCCAGCACCACAAGGAAGACTCTGGAGTAGGGATTGCCTCTCTTTGAGGGATCTGAGGGAACAACTTACTGCTGGAAGCAAACCTTGATGTGGATAGAGCGTTTTTTTCCAAGCCAGGGGTGATGCACAGTCCGCCCAGGAGGGGAAAATAAGTCAGATCCCTGGAGTGACTGCTCAGGCTGAGACAGGACTGCTGTAATGTCTGTGAAATGTCCAGGAGAAATGCTGGAGAGGGGAGGAATTCCAGCTATAGCCATTGAAAAATGTTCAGGGAAAGTTCAAAGACCTTTGAAACTGTGCTAGACAGCAAGGGATGTGTGGCTGCAGCAGTCACAGCTCACCAGGAGGTGGGATAGTTCCCCTCTGCTCCACACTGTGATGGCCAAGGCTGGCTACTGTGCCCAGACTGGTCTCCTGGTCCAAGAGGGAGGTTCACAAACCGGAGCAATCCCAGAGGAAGGTGTTCAGATGGCTGGGGATTAAGGCACATGACAGAAAAGGAGGGAGAGGGAGGGGTTTGTTTATCTTGAAGAAGGTGAAGAGAGAATCTACTTACTGCCACCAGCTACACCACTTGGAACAGGGAAACTCCAGCTAAAGCCATGGACAGCACTCCTCCCTGTGAGAGCGGGGCAGCCCTGGGGAGGCTGGAACATGGTGGGTTCACATCCAGCAGTGATGGCCCTGAGCAACCTGATCTGGCTTTGGACCCAGCCCTGCCCTCCAAAGGAGCTGGATGATGAATTCCAAAGCTGACACCTTTCTGTGGTTCCTCCTTGGTTAGGGAGTTAGTCTGCAATAAACTGTGGCTGCTCTCCTGAGGACTGGGGGACTTTGGGCTGGTGACTCCAGCTGAGGCCGTGCTGCACCAACCCCCCGTCTGGGGAACCTGGCTAGCATGGAAGGTGTAAAATGGCAGGTGATGCAGAGAAGTTACAGGTTAGATGAGACTAAATGTAGAGGTGCACCAAGTACCTTTAAACCGCATTTTCCCACTCTGATACCTACCTCCAGCTGCTGCCTACAAGGGTGTCAAAATGTATTAGCAAGGGAAAGGCTGGGACAGCTGGGGGTGTCCATCCTGGAGAAGAGAAGGCTCCAGGGAGGCCTCAGAGCCCCTTCCAGTGCATAAAAGGGTTTCCAGAGAGCCGGAGAGGGACTTTGGGCAAGGGCCTGGAGTGACAGGACAAGGGGAATGGCATCCTACTACCAGAGGGCAGGGTTAGATGGGATATTGGGAAGAAATTTTTCCCTGGGAGGATGGTGAGGCCCTGGCACAGGCTGCCCAGAGAAGCTATGGCTGCCCCATCCCTGGAAGTGTTCCAGGCCAGGTTGGACAGGGCTTGGATGAGGGTCCCACTGCAGTGGAGCCGGTGTGGGCATTGCCATGCCCAGTGCAGGAAGGAAATGAAGCACTGACAGAGTCCAAGGGGTTGTGAGATCTGGAGCAATGGAGCCCTGACTGCAGTGGAATGGCAGAGCTGTGCCCTGCCAGCTGCCAGCAAACCAGGCACCTGGGACATGGTGACAGGCCAGGTATGTGGGAACTGGTACCCTTGGAGTGCTGTCCCTGTGCTCAGCATCCCCAGGGATGCCCTGCCAGTGACCACATATTCCATCACATGGACCACTCAAGGTCTTAAAGGCAAACCTGAGACCTCAGGCCCTGGATGAGACCCTAAATGAGCCACTGAACGAGGGGGAAGGCACCTCTTCAAGGCTGCTTTGCTGAGCTTCTGCTTTCACGCAGCATCAGCAGCACATTGTTATTCCAGGTTTCCACCTGGGATATTGTAATTCCAGGTTTCTTTCCTTTGGGAAGGCTATGCAGATTTGCACTGACCTGAGGAAGTCCCTCCGATGCCATGCTGGAGAGAAGTCAAAACCTGGGGGCAAAGGAGGGATCTGCCTTCAAGAATGTGGACCAAGGCACCAAGAGACCAAGGCAGTCTGTCCTGTTGTCACCAAGGAGCTGTCATCAGGGCTTGGGTGATTTGTGTGGCAGGGAAATGATCCAGTCACCCATCAGATTTAGCAGGAGAGAAGGAGAGAAGCTTTTGGGAGACCCTGGACAAAAGCCTGTGCAGCCATCCAGCCCTTAGTGCTGCTGCTGCTTGTCATGGAATAACCTCAGGACATGTGGATAGAGTCAAGGACAGAAGGCAGGACTCCTGCTCTGGGCTGGATTGCCAAAAGCTGAGTGCTGGCTGCCCACAGGGTCACTGCTGCTCTGTGGGGTGCACAGGGTCTGGCCATGAGGGTGCTACAGCTGAGCACAGCGACGCTGGATCTCATGGGAAAGTGGAGCAGAGTCAAGCTACATGTCAAAAGAGGAGGAACTTCTCACCTGTCTCCATGGCCAACAACCCAGCATCAGCCCTTTCTCCCCAGAACCTCCCAGGATGGTGTTTCCTGAGCATATGGCACACACAGCCGGTGGAGAAGAGTGGGACGATGTCAGCTGGCAACGAGGCCCTGGCTGGGCAGCAGGGCTCAGCCCCTCATGTCTTCAGAGAGCTGGGGGCCCATGAGACACACGCCAGTGTGAGGGCTCTGGGACTCACCTGTACTCCAGGCTCATGCACTCGAAGAGCCGGGTGAGGGTCGGGTCGATGCTCCGGGGATCAGCCGGCTCGGGTTTGGTGCGGTGGTGCCGCCGCCGGGGCAGCGCGTCGCTGTGCGGGGACGACACCATGAAGTGGCCGCTGTGGATGACCTGGGAGGGGTTCTGTGCCCCAGCACCGGGTCCTGTGCCACCCACAGCCGCGTCCTCGAAGTCGGAGTCGGAATCAGAGACAGGGCACGGCCCAACCGGGGGCTCCGGGAAGGTTCCCAGGAGCCCCACCTGAGCTCCTGCCATCGCCTGGCGCCTGCTGGGGAGCCCTTATGGACCTGTCCCAGCGCTGTGATCCATGTCCCGGGTGTGCCAGAGCCTATGGACACTGCGTTGGCATCGAGCACGTGCCGTTGGGCTCCCCAGCACAGGACACCCTCACCACAGCTCCTCCTGGGCGCCTCCTCCCCCCGGCCCACGCTGCCTGCTCCACGCGCCGGGGTTCAGCAGGTGCTTTGCCGGGGTTCCGCGGTTGGTTTGCCAGGGTGGATCGTCACCAGCCCTACTTATAGTGCTGGTGGCTGATCCCGCCCATGGCACACCGTCAGCAGGCCATGGCACTCTGCCACCGGCGCTTCAGCTCCGCGCCACCGTCCAGCTCCAGCAGTGTCCCTGATGACCCCACCTTTTCTGTCTCCCCTCCAGGTGGGGAGGAGCAGCTGCGGGTCCCCGTGCCCCGAGGGTTGGCTGGCAGGCAGCTCTGTTTACCCGGGGTTAATCACTGATCCCGGGGGCCGGCTGGGAGAGGATCGGGCGGTATTTACCCAGCACCTCTTCCCTAATGGATCTCCCTGCACTTTTCGAAGGGAACAAATACAGATTAAGGGACACAAACAGGTAAAATTATAGCAACGGGCACCCAGCTCAGCACAAAGCACACAGAGGCACTGAGCCATGTGCTGAGCTGAGAAAGAGCCCAGGGAAACCTGCTCTGAGGGGGAACCCAGCAGGAGAGGGGATGCAAATGCCCAGTGTAAGAGGGGACAGCAATGAGCCCGGATGTGGCGGGATTTATACACCTCGTGGTCATGCAGTTCTTAAAATCACAGAATCAACAAATCCTAGAATGGTTTGGGTGGGAAGGAACCTTAAAACTCAGCTCATTCCAATCCTCCTGCCATGAGCAGGGACACCTTTCACTAGTCCAGGTTGCTCCAAGCCCTGTCCAACCTGGCCTTGGACACTTGCAGGGATGGGGCAGCCACAACTTCCATGGGCAACCTGTGCCAGGGCCTCCCCACTCTCCCAGGGAACAATTTCTTCCTAATATCCAATCTAAATCTACCCTGGACTGCCTTCACCTCTGAGGTGTCCTGAGGGATGCAGACAGATGTGCCAGCCCCCTCCCCTGCTCTGTGCCAGCTGATCTTGGATAAATGCTGAGATCCCTTGCCAGGGTCTGGCATGTGCCGTGTCACAAGCATCTCCTCTCTGACCCAAGCCACAGAGGGACACAGTGGATATCATTTCAGTCCTAAGTCACTTATTTTCTCTCTAGTTTTTGACAACTTCTTCTCCAGCCCCACAACCTGGCAGGAACACACATGCCAGGATAAAGAGGTGGGATAAAGCTGACATAGATGGCCACAGGCATCAGAACCCTAATCCAGCCTGCAGATGCATTTGGACAACCTCTGTACCACCCAGGTGGCCCCTGCTGATGCTCCAGAGGGATGAGCAGCCACTCAGGGTATTTTCCAGGGTTGGAAGAAGAATATGCACAGAGCTGGTTTGGATAAATTCCACAATGATCACTGTAAACCTCTCTTAGGAACCATTCCTGGATTTTCTAGCCAGATTTCCACGACTCCATAGCACTTTTCCCCCTCTGTGGTTCATTACAACCCCTTCGGCCTGTCAAGATGCTGGAGAAAGAAATAATTGTAAAAGTACTGCCTGCAGACATTTTAAAGCAGTAACGGGCATGTGGGTGTCCTGGGAAACTAAAGTTTAGGCAAGGCACAAGGAAACAAAGATGTCAGAGATACACAGGGTTTCTGGGCACGTTCCTCTTGAGCTGTGCAAAAAGGACTTCTCAGGATTTTGACAAATACCATTTGCCATCTGTTCACTGGCCACAGGCACACTTCAGTCCTCTGGGACAACATCTGTCTGAGGGAAACAGAGAAATACATCAGCGAGGCTTTTAGGGACATCACAACTCCCTCATCCCCAGTCCAGCAGCTCTCGAGCTACAGAGGAGGGAAATCCCGTGGGGAAAAGGCATCCAGACTAAGGAAAGGGGTGATGGGTCCTCAGCCCACAATGGACCATGGCAGGGATGCACCACAGGAGCAGGCAGTGCTGACGGATTTTTTAACAGGCTTTTTGGATCCTAAAACGTGTGATGGCAAGCAGCCCCCGAGGTGGGGGGACACACAGGCACAGGGGGACACGGGGAACCCACGCCGGGCACGGGGCCCTCCTGTCCCCACTCCCGCAGAGCCGCGCCCTGTCCCCGCGGAGGAAGGACATGAGCCCACAGCACTGTCTCGGCTGTGCCGGGGAAAGGGCGCTGTCGTTGCCTTGGGAACGAGCCAAGGTGGCCCAACGCAGTTTCTGAGCTCTCTGGCCGCCTAAAGTAACAAGTCAGGGCAGCTCAATCCAGGTCTTGGGCCCTGTGGCCGCCTAAAGTAACAAGTTGTGAA